TAATCCGGGCCTTCGCTTCTCGATACTTTTACGAATCTGCATTGAATCAAATTCGTATGCAGAGCTTTCTGCGGAACGCAAACTTTGCTAGACCTTCACTGCAACCTGTGAACCAAAGTGCTTATCTTATAGAAAACCTTGTACTACACCACAAAACAAAGGTTTTTTTCAATTCGGAAACACTATGAATCTGCCAAAGATGACTTCGCAAATTTTCTACTTTAGCTCTTTGTCTCTCAGCATTAATGTTTATATCTTCAAGTAGCTGAATGTATGGACTACTGCCAGTAGGAAATTTTTCACAGAAATTTTCTTGCTAGGTAGCGCCATTTCAATGATTCTTGCGACCAAACTCAAAGTCGCGTCTGAAATGCCGTCTTTGGAGTTCGGTTCTGCGAGATAAGTCAAAAAATAGGTTCTGAGTAATTATTTTGAAACGCAAATCTTTTTTTTTTTGAATACAGATCATGAATTTAGTTTTGGGTGATGATTGGAAGAGTTAACAAATTTTATTTGATTTACATAGGAATGTTCGCATCGATCTGATGTTTGGAAGCATTTGAGTTTGTCAGCGTTTATTTTGGTGAATTTAACCTTCTTCCATGATTTTCATAGCGTTTGTACAGTGCTGGACATAATTATAGAGACACTCTAGAAATCGTCGTAATTTTCGTTCTTGTCAGTGAATCTGTCTGAAACTTTGCTGTATGGTGCGCATGTAAGCCTACCATAACTCCTTCGAACGGCTTCCAGTCTCGTTGATTTCGAACGGAGAAAAATGGAAAATTCGAAAAGCCTGTTTTGCAAGCTGGACGTAATTATAAGGAAGCCTGGCCTTTTTAAATATTATCGCTTCCTTGACTCCCAAATTTTTTCGTAAAGTTACATCTCAGAATATGAAACTTTTGCAGCACCTGGGACCTGTCATGCTACTCAAGGAAAGACGATCCTTCCATTTTTCGTTTCCAAAGGCATCAGAACAAGTGCGTCAACAAACAGCTGGTTTGAGGAGTTTTCAAGCCCGCGTTCATTTCAAATAGTCTTGGAATACACTTAGCCATTTTGATAGATAAGGTGAAGAGCGCTTTCGTAAACTCCGCGTAATCGCTGATTTTGACGGACAGACTCCAACCTCAACATAGGCTTGAAACGCTTTTAAACCACAAAACTCACTTTCCAATGTTCGTGAAATGATGGACTCGATTTATTATGTTGTCTACATAGAGACGCAGCTTTTGCAACAACTTTCAGATTTATTCTAGTGCTGCAATTGGCATTTAGATCTGAAATACTTTCCATGCAAATTCTCTGCGAGCAGTACATTCAACACAATCACAGATCTCACTATTTCCTTCTCCGTTTCATGTCGCATTTTACGCGCTAGGTGAGATTAGTTAAGATTTTGAAGTTTCAAGCGCTCTCCCGTTCGATTTCTTGATTTGAATTGGATATGATTGTGCAGGGTGCTCCACTCAACACTCAACGCATGACAACTGCGGCTGAACCAGAATGTGCAACCCCGAAATACTTTTCTGACTAGGCACACAAGTTTATTGTTGTACGTGTGTTGTTGCGGCTACATTGCTAAATCGCAATGTAGCCGCAACAACACACGTTCTGTAACATGAAAATCGAGTTTTGTGGTGCAAAAAGCGCGACAACCCTAAGGTGAGGTTGGAGTCTGTCCGTCAAAATCAGCGATTACGCGGAGTTTACGAAAGCGCTCTTCGCCTTATCTATCAAAATGGCTAAGTGTATTCCAAGACTATTTGAAATGAACGCGGGCTTGAAAACTCCAGCTGTTTGTTGACGCAGTTTGACTTCTGATGCCTTTGGAAAAGAAAAATGCAAGGATCATCTTTCCTTGAGTAGCATGACAGGTCTTAGGTGCTGAAAAGTTTTATACTCTGGGATGTAATTCTACAAAAAAATTTGGGAATCAAGGAATGCGATAATGTTTAAAAAGGGCGGGTGTCCTTAGAAATATGTCCAGCTCGCAAAACAGGCTTTTCCGAATTTTTCTATTTTTCTCCGTTCGAAATCAACGAGATTGGAAGCCGTTCTGAGGAGTTACGGTAGGCTTACATGCGCACCATACAGCAAAGTTTCAGACAGATTCACTGACAAGAACGAAAATTACAACGATTTTCATAGTGTCTCTATAATTATCTCCAGCGCTGTATAAGTTTAGAAAGAAACGCTTATTTTAGCCTACATAAAGGACATGTGAGTTTTTCCACTTACTTGTTACCTTAGAATGAGTTAAGGAACACATCCTCAAAAAATAGCCATCAAGAATATGCAAAAAGGTCAAAAATAGACTTAGTCTCGCTCACCTTGCTGCTGGGAGTAAAATGGGCTTTCAAGCCCATTTGAAATGGAAGCAATTCTTATTTTTTCCCATTCGAAATGGATTTTCGCATAATTGTTTCGCAAGCGAAAGCTCAGGTAGGATTGAATCATTTCATTTCATCGCTTTGCCTCGTGGTTGCGATGGGATGAAAATTTTGGATAACCCGAGCGAAAGCAGATTTCGACCACTTTTCACCGCGAACGAATAAAATAGGGTTTGCAAGTCCATTTTCCGCCATTATGTACTTTCGTGGATTACATTCCAGTACCTTGGCTTGCCTGTACTTCCTGAGATCCTCCTGCAAAGCTGTTCTGCAACTGGCGTTGACTATCAGTCGCTCGAGATGGGTTGCTTTCGGATCCTGCCTCAGAAATCTTTTTCTTTCGAGCATTTCCTTGGTGGTCTTCAAAATGCGTTCCACGTTCTTCTCGGAAGTCACTGAGGCGCACTCTCCGCAGGCTCGTAATCCTTTTAGAAGCCGGTCGTAGTCGTACGTTGGGTCCTCCTTGATGAGCCAGTCACAACTTGATATGAGCTCCTCCAGCCTGTTACCGTCATAAACGACTTCCTTCCTTCTCGCGTCACTATGACAGACCTTCTTTTCCAGCATTCGACTGAATCGTACATTCGCTTAAAGGAGACGGTGATCGGAACCACTACAGAAGGATGGAACTACAGAGACATCGAGTAAGCTCCACCTTCGGTTGGTAGGAATGTGGTCGACCTCCGCATGAGTCGTTCCGTTGGGCGATTCCCAAGTCCACCGGCGATATTCTTTTTTCATGAAGATGGAATTTCCATGGAAAAGTTGTGCGGCAAAGAGAAGCCCAACAAGACGGTTGCCGTTTTCATTCCAGAGCCCATATCCAAAGTTCCCGATCCTATATTCCTTTTCCAGTGGCATTCCGATTTTCGCGTTGAAGTCGCCCACAGCAAACTTGTAGAAGAAAGGACTTTTCGTCGCGGACGACCTCCTCCACGTCTTCGGAGAAAGCATCTAGTTCTGAGTCGTCAGCTGCTGATGTTGGAGAGTAGCAGTTGATAATGGTGATGGTCTTCTGACGTGGAGGGTGTAGTCGTAGGATGGCTAGTCGGGGTGATAGGATCTCATGCGAATCGACAAGATGGACGATAAGGTGGAGACAAAGCCAACGCCTCCAACGTTTCGTGATGGAACCTTTTCACCACGAATAATGAGGGTCCCATCACTCATCTGTAGCACGTCCTTCGCAATCTGAGTAGTAAAATTTGTTCCCCTACAATAGCAGACTTACTTGGCCAACTCTTGATTTCCACGGGGCGATCGCTGACCCCAGGCTTGGAGCGGGGAGAACCACCTAGCGACCAGAAGAAGCCAGACGGCGGGGGATCTGGGTGGCCAGTTCCTAGCAGGGCATCCGACCGAGACCGGAAACGTCGAACTGCTTCACAGCTTTTGAGACCCTGCCAGAGTATACACTCGGCTGTGCATCGCAGTTCGACACCCAGTGTCACCCCCACGCCACGATGAGGACCATTTTGGGGGAAGTGCGATTATACTATCAAAAAAGCTTGAAAAACTGGTAGAAAGTTGTGTAGTAAAATCAGCACGTCCAAAAATCTCGCTGCAAAGAATTCCAGGTTTTTTGAAATTTTTTTCATCAAAAGCCTATTTCTACAGTGGCGCTGTATGCCGAAAGTCCATATTGCAATCTTGCAATCCTTCAGTAATAAAGAGCGATTAACGATTCGCTCCATACTTTTAGTATAAACTGAACCTCGTTTTACAGAATGGTGCCTCAAGCTTCTCAAAAGACTTCATGACAAAAGTTTTTAACAATTGAACAGTGTTCACATTTTTTGGGACACCCTGTACAATGTAGACCAAATCACCAATCACGCTTTATTGCTGTAGGATGTATGAACTTTGAGAAGGATTTTGGGAAAGTAAAAGCGTTTTCTGCCTCAGAAAGAAAGGAAAGTCAGAGACTTTTGTATTGGACCATACGAAGCCGCTAAATTCAAACATGAAAACTGCACTCCACTGCAATACTTCTTTCATAAGTTATTTCAAGTTTAGGAAAACATCTGTTTTCCCAGTGTTCGTCAGAAGTGTGATTATACCATTGAAGTAGCTCAGATAACTGATGGAAAGTTAGTGAAATCAGCTTGCCTGAATTACTACACAAACCAGATTTTTTGGGGGATTTTTTTCCATTAAATGGCCTATTTGATAATAGCGCGCTAAGGCTCGGCGAAAGACATGAAAGCAAGAGAGTTATTAACGATCGAACAGCTGTTCACATGTTTTGGGACACTCTGTACAATTACGTCGTTCTAAAAAAAGAGGTGCGTTCAAAAGGCAATTCGTTTCGGGACTAACATCAAAAATGAAGTTGAGCAAAACCTTTCATCAAGTCAGCTTCGAACTTTCAATGCCAGTTTTATTTTTCTACATATGACATTGCAGAATGGACATGCTACAAGACTAGAAGTCATAGTCAGCGCCAAACATGTGACATCGCCTGATGTCTTAGTAAGCACAAATCATCTAATATCAGCGATTTCAAGCGCTTAACATCATTATTGATGAAAAGGTGGACACAGCACTGACAGTTTCTATTCGCTCATGTATTGGCAAAGATAATGGTTTTAGTGGAGGACGTACCAATTTGATAACGAAAACTGCGTGCTAATAAATGATGCGAACTGCTGTTGGCGGAGTCATTGTAAGTCTTTGTACGTGCACTTCTTCACGCTCTTGAGTTATTCCTCTTATCGTACATTCCTCAGCTGCATTTCTCAAACCAACCCAAAATGCAATAAGGCTGGATTGGTATGGATTTTCTGGCAACAGAAACGCAAGCAAAGTTCAAGAACAAGTTAAAAAGGCAACAAAAGATATACTAATACGTTAATTAGACAATCGCAGAAAATCTTTCTATGCTTCCCGATCTTCAAACTCTGGCTCGTGCCTGCATTTAGCTTTAAAAGTAAAAGCAAAATTTTGCAAGTGAAAGTATCCCAGAAGAGTTGGAAACTGTGCAATTACTTGTTTAATTCGTAAATATTGCAATGATACTTGAAATCCTTGCAACTCCAATCTAGTTTTGCAATTGAAATTTCTTGGGCTTCAATGTGACCAAAAACTGCGCCAGATAGTTTTCCTAGTAGTGAGTCCCTCTTTAGAACCATGCATTCTGAGCATTCTTAGTACATGAAAACTGGTGCTTGAAAAGCTGGCCTAACAGACAAGCATCATACAGTACCGTATTTTTTTTTCAAAAAACGACGCACAGTTTACGATTCATGTGACATCACCGTCGCATGCCCAAATCCCGCTTTAATTTGGATGAATTCTGAACTCAATGACATTTTTCGATTTAGCTCGGCGCGGTGCATCTTCTGATAAACAGAAGTGTCGCTTGGACACAGTAGGAGCCAAATTTTAGGAATCGTTTTAGATTTTTACTTACGATAGGTTACTCGGTGCGCTTATTCATTGCATTCAATGGGCAACCTACCGTAAGCAAAAAATCTGCCTCCTATTTTGTTCAAGCTGGTACTTCTATATCTTAGCAAATGCGCCGCGCCGAGCTGAGTCGAATGGTGCCCTTAGAGTAAGAATTTTCCCACTCTGAGGCGAGATATGGCTACGCTACGGCGAAGCCACGTGAATCGGGCGACTCTGCGTCGTTTACTCTAAGACATGCGAACGGTATTGTATGTTGAAATGAGCTATCATGGCCAAACAAAACAGGTAAAGTTTTGATTCTTTCTCATTATATTGCACTATATCAATATCAAATGACATTTGCAAACTAATCATTCTTCTTTTTTTAGAAAATGATGCGTCATTTTGTTGCATTTTCACTACTGTTATTCGTTTTGGAAAAACCAGTCGAGGCGATTAAGTTGCCGCGTAATGCAGTTTGCCTCGGTTACGGTGATCATGCGTGCAGAGCACGTTGCTTGAAACAAGTATGCCTATTTACTCATCTATTCGAATCATCGATCTAAGTTCAGAATTGCCAAAACGGACACTGCAAATCTGTAAGACTTGGATTTGGAAAACATTATGTACCTTCAATCCTGAAATGTGTCTGTGAGGATTGTCCCGCTGATCAACAGAGGAAGGAACAGCTTCATTGAACAGATGCACACGTCTTTTGAGTTTATTGCGCAAAACACCAGTATGAAGTTATTATCGAGTTATTCAATGTTTCCATCACACAATGATATCATTTAAGTTATCAGCAATATTCACAACTTAACAATCTCCAAGAAAAAGCTGGCATACTTATTTTACCATGCTAACACAATTCTGTTCTTTGTCCCACTATCAAATGTTCAGAAATACTAGATTTATGAAAGTGCACAATGATATACCGATTGAAAAACACATATTTGCGATTTCCTCGCCTCCAGCATTATGCCTGATACACCTCCACGACCGCGTGCATTGGCGCGTATGCACGCCGTGACTCTCGTTTAGCTTTCGTGCATAATACGTATGCACACGAGTTTTTCAGGTGTGAAGAAATTGCTAAGGTAATATATGCAAGAACAATACTGATGTCCTGATTGTCATATATGTAAAGCTCATCGCCGTAGCTCTACAGATGTTTAGAACGCAAGTTTAGCTATTAAAATATGTCAGTTATGTTTTACTGAGAAAGCTAGAACTTGTACAAGTGTTTTGAGAGCAATCAAAGATGAACTCAGACAAAAAACTCAATATTATAACGCTTTCCTCGGAAAGAGATTCTCACACATAGCCACTGCATAGTTTATTGAAGGAGGAAATGATGGAGAAATCTTCGTGCATGTAAATTCTGATAGGACTCTGTAAGATACAAGTAATTTTGAAGATAATAGTTTGCATCTTTCATGAACAAGCGTCAAAGAGGATTCCACAAATGATTTTGTGCATACGCGCATATGCTCGAAATCATTATATGGAAGTCTTTTTGACAATTTAAAAAACACGCACGGTTATTTTTTCAAAATTACTTAGGTCGCAGAACACGTCATTGGGAGGGATGTCATCAATCTGTTAAGTAAGATCGGCCCAAATTGCAATTTAGCACTTCTTCAAAATTCTGCAAGTAGAAAGAAACAAAGCAGATAATTCGCAATCAGATTATTTAGTGCAACGTTTACAATCAAACTCGTGATTATCTACGGAATTGTTTTATCTTCAATTGTTCACAAAAATTGAATGTTTGCAAGGACAGAACTTGCCAAAGTAACGCACTACGAGTAGCATAGACGTTGACTTTGTTCATATAACTGTTGGTCAAGTCTTTTTACCAGAAGTCCCCGTTGGTGAGTTGAAATGCAAAAGCTATCTACATGAAATTGCTCTGCTAATTTTAGTTCTCGTTAATGACCCGATCAAATAATGCACTCCAAAAACAAAATTCCTCGCTAATGTTGTCAGAAGATAGTAACGCTGGGATGTCATGTATCTGAAGCTGACTACGTGAAACTTATAGAGCTGTAATAACTACCTAGCCAAAAAACGAAAATAAAAAACGCAAGCTCTTCGCGCCACTCTCCTTACCACAGAGAAGCCAGCGTCTGGTTCCGCTGGTATACGGGGCTTTTTAACAGGCTGACGTTCGGTCTGCGCCAAGGGAAACGGGTGGAATGGGGTCGCAATCTTTTGCTTTGTGTAAGTCACAAAAACAAAAAGTCTACTTTCGCATTGCTATTGTCCGCAGATTATTGAAACTAAAAATGTCGGCTCTTATCGCGCAGCATAAACTGCTACTTTTTTTGCAAAGCAGCCTTGTATTGAAATGAAAGAAGGATGTCTAACGTTCGGTTTGATCTAATGAAAATTGAAATTGTTTCAAATGTCGATCCTTTTGTTCTGAAACATGACTTTTTTTAATGACAAAGCACGCAATGATTCATAATCCGCAACTTTCTTCGCAGGTGGTGCTACGGGGTGGTGCTACGGTCTAATAATCAGCTGTGAAGAAAAATTAGTCACTGATAACTGAGTTTCAAGACGCTTTCGAAGTTTGATGTTTGGTGCATTTATTCGACAGCAATTTTTTTGAAGTTAAAGACTTTCAGAAAGATTATCAAAACCATCAAAGCCGGTTAGAAAATGAGAAACAATTATGGCATTGTCAAGCACGAGACATGGTGGTCTTTTTTTGAAAACTTTAAATCATATGCAGGATATAATATGTACACATTGTATACATACGTATCTTTAGGCCGGTACAGAAATTTTATGTTATGGGGAGGGGGGAGGAGGGACATGTTGACAACACTTTTTTGAGGGTTGCGTTAGCCACAATCGCAAAGATTTTTCGGATGCATTCTGAAATTCTTGCAAAACCCAGCTTCGAAATTTCAAGAAAAGGAAGCGTAGCGGCAACAGACCTCGGAAATCCTACAAGGCTGACTTCGATTTCCAAGAAACTCTGGAAATTATATAAAAGCAAGTCACTTATTTACGATTCTGGACAAGGCCCTCTCTGTCCGCTTTGTTTCTTTTTCTTCAGTAGAACTCAAAATGACTTCTATTGGCGAAGTTGTTTGATTATATGCGTACACGGATATAAACCTAAAATATTTGCGCGAAGTTGCCCCTCATAGGAGAAAAGAACTGAATACTATGTCTCACTACGTATATGTCATCATGTTTTGCAATGCCTTGCAGTGTATCCCAGAATTTGTTATTTGTCGTAAGAAAGAACATTTCTGCGGAAAACTATTGAAAATGAGCAATAAAGGGAATATGACAATCAACAAGACTGAAGTGGCACATAATGGTTTGAAAGCGAATGTTGGGAGTTGAAGACAATTATAGAGCTTAGAAGAAGATTCATGATTGTAAAAAAAGGCAGATTTCTTTTTGATTTTCTTGGCCAAAGCTTATGAAATTCGTTTACTTGGATCCTCGACCACAGAAAGCTCTAACTGTGTCTTTTTGCTTGTACTACTAATGAAACCTTCTTCAGTAATAAAATAGACCAGGAAGTAAGAGATACTGGATTTTTTTTTGAATATCACCAATTGTGGTTCTTTTTTCTAATAGCTTACTTGGACAACTAAGACGTTTTTTTTCCTTTGTGAGTCTAATGAACCAAATACGAGGCAATCAAAAGGCTAGTATTCTATCTTTTTATAAACAAAAAAGTTTTTCTAGATAAAACACAATCAGTTTTGTACACATTTTGCTTAAAATTAGAGTGTAACAGAATTTAAGAACAAAATTTAGTGATCCTAATAATGCTTACCAATGCTATTTTAACAAAAATCTCCTAACTTAGATTCCTGGAGCATGCAGGAGCGACAATACAGATGTTCTTTCTCTTAAAATTCTAAATGATCTACTTTAAATGCAGAATGATGATCAAGCACATGTGGGGTTAAAATGGATGCTCCCATTCCACGAAAGTATAAAATGCCATGCTACAGATAGGTGTTTTATTATAGAACACGCCTTTTTAGCTCAGCCATCTTCATCTTCATGTGTTTACGAGCCTCCTTTGCTTTGCATTGTTAAATATGAGCTGAATCTCTTTGTCATCCGTCTTGACTTTGCGTATTGCTAATCCCAAATGAAATCGTAAAGCTTGCTCTGCGCCTCAGCTTTTTCAAAGCAGCATAGCTCAAAAGCGAAGACTATATTAGAATCTAGCATAAACCTATATGGAGCGAGCAAAAGTAATGCGACCTCCCTTTCTTGTTTTCAAATTACGGTGGAAAATTTCGGTGGGTTAAAATAAAACTGCTATCAAGTCCAGAGAACGTGAAACCTTGAATTTTTTCGCACACGCAATTTTCACCCCACGAATCTTTTCAGATTTTTGCTTATTATTTACACGGTTGTGCTTATCCATTGCACTCACCGGGCAACCTACCGTTAGCAAAAATCTGAAACGAAAATCTGAATCTGACTTTCCACTGTGTCCAAGCGTCCAGTTTTACATCAGAAGATGCGCGGCAACGAGCTGAGTCGAATGGTGGTCTTGGATTAAAAATTCGTCTACTTTAAAGCGAGAAATGGCTACGCAATGGTGATGTCACATGAGTCGGGCAATTGTGCGTCGTTTTTTAAAAAATACGACCCGTGTTGTATATTGATGATCTTTATGTAGCATCAATGCAGCCCGGGTAATCAAGCTAATTAATGAGCCATCTCAAATCAGTGTGTAAGTCCAAGTCTAACTAGAAAACATTGGCTACCATATTCTAACACCAAGACGGCGCTACGAACTGCGCATTACGTGTTTATCAGTATAGCAAAAGAATCTACAGATGTAGCTCTACATGAACAGATGCTGACATCATTGCAATCAAATAAGCATTCTTCCGAAATTATCCAGAACGGCAATCAAAATCTGCAGCTGTGTGAGCGAGGGAATTTTGATATAAGCATACAAATAAGAACCTCAAAGCCGCTTTGATTACTAAGATTTAGCTTGTCATACTATATAGAACTATAACTATGTAGATTTGAGGCAATTTATTGAAGCTGAGTGTGTTACAACATTTTCATGGTGAAATTGTAGTTCGCCATGAGACTAATTTTTCAGAGTGCTTAGCATACTAGGCCCTCTCCATATGGCTCTTCTAGTATGTCAAGCACTCTGAAAGATTATTGTCATGGCGAACCAGAACTACAATTTTAATGAGTAAACGAAAAAATGAAAATTTCTGGTTATGATAGGACGATGGTTAGAACTAAAAATGGTATCAGATTCATTTTGCGATATCATCAGAATGGTGGTATTACGTCGTCCCGAAGGTAATGTCGCTTTTTTCAAGTGAACGCTACATTTTGAAGAAGCAAGATTTCTATAAAATCATGGCCGCATTCGATGCAGCATTTCATTGTCCTTCTAATATCTTCATGAGCATTACACAATATTCGACAATCTCCAAAAACTTATCAAAATCTGCGACCCATGTTTTTTGAAAAGGTTTTTGAGAAGCTTTTTGAGAATTTTTACAACAATCCCCCGAAGAGGAGGCCAAGTAAACAGGTGGATTGAGCAAACAGACACAGCACGATTTTTTCTGCTTTCCATAGCTCGTCATAATTTTAGTAGAGATTTCTTAATGGAATCATCAAATTTCAACAGACTTGTCTCAAACACAAATGCACAATTCTCAAACTCCAATAAATCTTCGATTCTGAAAGCAGAGGTGGATTATGGTTTGACACTAATTACAAAGC